ATAGTAGTTAAGGATGACATCCGGGAAGACATAATCCACTTTTCTTGTACCCATGTTTGATGTATATGTTCCGAACTTGGGATGTCGATCTCACTGTTGAAGTTGGCATAAAACTCACGGACTAGACTTTCATATTTGGGTGTGGCCACTATACCAATTTACACCAACCACAAATCTGAACCAGGTTCACCAACCCAAAACCCGGGAAATCATCAAGCCGAACGGGACTTTCAGGAAGCATCCCCCAATGGCGTATGATGTTCTCATATCAAGCTATGGTCTCAGCACTTAAGAATCTCTAAATGCCCCTTCAGGCTCTCTAGTTCGTGTTATTCCTGAAGATGCGCTAGCCTTTTCTTTCCCTTTCAAAGTTGTCTTAGACGACATCCTACAAAAGTGTAAAATTCTCATATCGGGATCTCAAAGTGTAATAGGATAGACAAGAAAGCGAGAAAGAGTAACTGTGAAGCTCTAATCCCCCAAACTTACTTCAAGGTACTTGTGTAACACGTTGGTGTGCAATATTCAAGAAATTTGGCTCAAGATAGTATACTATTGCAAAAATATGAAGCACCAACAAAAATTAGACCCAAACACGCGCTTTATGAAATTTTACCCATGACCAAGTGAGGATTTTCAACGTTGGGCATGATCGAAAAAAAATTGAAATTTTCCTAAGCGACCTCTTGGCATATGGAAGCTTTCATATTGGTCTAGCAGATAATCAAATTTCAAGTCAATCAGATGTCGTTTGGTTAGGTAAATGAAAAGGTCAAGTGTGTGATGTAAGGTGCCGTCGCTTAGCCAATTATGTGCCTAAATTGTGGTCAAGTTGAATGATTATGGTATTCAGTTCAACTCCTACAAGATTTCATCACAACATTCACTCCAATTCAATTGCAACTCATGTCCATCGCAAGACTTGGCAAATCCATAATTATCGTCACTTGGGCATTTTAACAAACACATTGTATGCATGATGTCGAGGTTTCACAATTTGAAAAAATTTATAAATGCTATTAGTCCCCAAGGTGTAAAACACAAATAATTACAAAACCCATCATCTAACTATGCCCGTTCTCCACAAATTGCAAAGGTAGATCAAAAATATGCTTAAAAACCAAACACAAGGAAGGGAGAAGAGATAGGCATCATACCTTAAAATTGATGGAGTTGTGATGAATGTGTGGAGTGCTCGACAATTTCGTGTGCAAGGAGGGCAATTTTGTGTGAAATTGGTTGTTTTTGTGCGTGAAATTGGGAAATATTCAAGTCCTAGGGTTTGTGTGAGGTTGATTGATAGTGGGGAAGTGATTGTGTGAGAGTTTAAGTTACGGGTTAACACATGTGATCGCACGGTGTAACGCATAGCCCCCCTATGAGTTTCGGTTGGTGTCCATACGATTGCATGGACACTTTGTCTATGAGATTGCATAGACACGTTTTTCTTTTAATGCAAATTGTTTTAGTGAATGAATATGCATGTGAAAATTTAACAATACAATAGACTACCTAAAAACACTACTCAGCTCAAATTTTCCCCAAAATTTGGTTTTCGATTGGTGAATTTGTTTGACCTTTCCACCTTCCCATACTTTTTTTAAAAACACATTTTTTAGACTATATGGATGACATGTAGGCCATAGACTTAGTTCCAAAACCAATTTTTGATTTGGAATCACATAATAACCCTGATTTTTTTTGAAAAAATAACTTTGTGCCTCGATATGCGTGAATTTCACATCTAATCACCCTAAACAACTCATATAAATCCCAACTCGTGCTTGATGCATAAGGCTTCGTGTGGGTAGTGTTTATACTATTTTGATATACATGGATGATCGATGACTAACTATCGAAAATGCGAACGGAAAATTGAAAATTTCCTAAACTAATGCAAAAGGCAAAATAAATTAAAAGGATACAGTAAGTTGACTCCCACTCAGCGCTAGTTTTTAGTCGATAGCTCAACTTTCCCACATCTTCATCAATTTGGTGTCCCGAGTTGAATGGTGGACTTTTGCTTGGAGAAATCACCACTCCAGTAGTGCGTCAACCTTTGATCATTAATTGTGAAAGTACCCCTAGTCTCATGGTTGACTTCTATGGCTCCATCTGGCAAAACCTTTGTGACAGTGTAAGGACCCGACCACCTTGACCTTAGTTTTCCCGAGAAAAGCTTAAGTCTCAAATTGTATAATAGAACTTTCTACTCCACTTCAAACTCTCACCTCTGAATATATAAGTCGTGCCACTTTTTGGTGCGTTCCTTGTAAAGCTTCAAGTTTTCATATGCTTCCGTCCTGAATTCATCTAGCTCATTAAGCTACAGTAAACGCTTTTCACCGGTAGCCTTAAAATCCATTTCAATGTTTCATAGCCCAATATGCACCGTGTTCTATCTCTAGTAGGAAGTGGCACGCTTTACCAAAAACTAAGCTGAATGGAGACATGCCTATCGATGTCTTGAATACTGTTCTATATGCCTAAAATGTGTCGTCCAGCTTTATAGTCCAGTCCTTTCTGGATGAATTGACTGTAACTTCAAGTATTCAACTGTCGATTAGAAACTTCAACTTGCCCACTGGCCTGTGGAAGATATAGGGTTGCTATACTGTGTTTAATGCCATATTTATTCAACAACTGCTCAATTTGATGATTGCAGACGTGTTTACCCCATCACTTATTATCGTCTACGATGTGCCATATCTAGTGAAGATGTATTTTTTCAAAAACCCATTACCACCTTCACGTCGTTGATTGGCAATATAATTGCTTCCACCCATTTAGACACATAGTCCATGGCTACCAGGATATACTAATTTGAGAACTATAAGGAAAAAGGCCCCATAAAGTCGATTCCCTAAACATCAAATATCTCAACCTCTAATATATTGTTAAGTGACATTTCATTTTTCCTTGAGATATTCCCAATGCGTTAACATCTATCACATCTCTTAACGAACTCAAAGGCGTCTCTGAACAATATAAGCTAATAAAACCCTAACTGTAAAATCTTTGCTATTGTCTTTAAAGCTCCAAAGTGTCCCTCATAAGCATATGAACGTCAATGTTCAAGAATCTTGGGTATTTCATCTTCAGATATATACCTTCTTACAATTTGATCAGCCCCTCACCTATAGAGAATAGGATCTTCCAAAAAATAGTACTTCAGTTCGGTAAAGAACTTTTTCCTTTGGTGAGTTGAGTAATCTGGTGGTGGGATGGATTTAGCCAGATAGTTGACAATATCTACATACCACGATGCTTATTCTACACTGAACATCTGCTCATCTGGAAAAACCTCATTGATATCCAATGACTCTTCTGGTTCTTCAAGTTCCAATCGTGATAGGTGATCAGCTACCACATTTTCATTGCCCTTTTTGTCCCAGATTTTGATATCAAATTCTTGCAAAAGTAATACCCATCATATCAGTCTCGGCTTAGCATTCTTCTTTGTCATCAGATATTTCAGTGTAGCGTGATCTGTGTAGACTATGACCTTAGAGTCCACGATATATGATCTGAATTTGTCAAATGCATATATTACAGTCAATAACTCCTTTTCAGTGGTCATGTAGTTGATTCGGGCATCATTCAGGTTCTGCTTACATAATAAATCACATGAAAGACATTGTTCCTTCTCTATCCCAATACTGCACCCATGACATGATCACTTGCGTCACATATTAGTTCAAAAGGCAACTCCCAATCAGTTGCTACAATTATCGATGCTGATGTGAGTTTCTCCTTCAAAGTGTTGAAAGATGTCAAGCATTCCTCATTAAACTCAAACATCCTTCATCAATAGGTTGCATAGTGGCTTGGTAATTTTTGAGAAGTCCTTGATGAATCTTCAATAAAATCTAGCATGTCCTAAAAAATTGCGACCACACTTAACTGATGTAGGTGGCAGTAGCTTCTCAATAACCTGAATTTCTGCTTTGTCCACTACGATATCCTTTGCTGATACTTGATGTCTTATCACAATCCCCTCCTGTAACATGAAGTGACATTTCTCCCAATTCAATACGAAATTAGTTTCCCTATATCTTTGTAAGATCATATTCAAGTATTCCAAATACTCGTCAAACAAAGACCCAAAGATCGAAAAATCATCCATGAATGTTTTTATAAACTTGTTTACCAAGTCTGAGAAAATTGCCATCATGCATCACTGAAATGTGACAGGGGTGTTGCAAAGACCAAAAGGCATCATGTGGTATGCGAAGTTCCATAGGGTCAAGGTAATGTCATTTTTTCTTGGTCATGTGGTGTCACTGGTATCTGATTGTAACCTAAATACCCATAGAGAAAGTAGTAGTGTGAGTGACCCGCCAATCTTTTCAGCATCTGATCAATAAAAGGAAGGGGAAAGTGATATTTCCTTGTAGCTACGTTGAGTTTATGGTAATCGATACAAATCCTCCAACCCGTCACTATTCTGGTCAGTATTAGTTCATTCTTCTCATTCGGCATGACCGTGATTCCCCCTTTCTTTGGTACTACCTAAACTGGACTAGTCCATACACCATCAGATATCGGATAAATGATTCCAGTATCTAGAAGTTTGAGTACCTCTGCTCTAACCACTTTCTTCATATTTGGGTTCAACCTTGTTTGACTCTTTATGGTTGGCCGAAAATTCTTCTCCATGAAAATCTTATGCTTACATAATGAAGCTTTGATCCCTTTGATATTTGCTATTGTCCATCCAATTGTTATTTAATTCTCCCTGAGTACCCTAAGCAATTTTTCCTCTTCAACTTTGCTGACTGTGTTTGAGATGATGACCGAAAATGTACAAGACTCTCCCAAGTATGCATATCTGAGATGAGGTAGCAGCTACTTGAGTTCTAATTTCGGTGGCTGTTGAACGGATGGTAGTGGCTTCATGGGTCCTATCCCAAGCTTATCAAAATGCCTTCTGCGTGTATAAGATGGGTTGGTATCCAAAAACTTTGCACATGCTTTCATCTCTACTGAATCGAAATGCGTTATTGAGAGTGTGCAATGTAGGCTTCATAAGCATCTGATGGATTATGTAGCAAAAATGAGTCTTGAACCGCCTTGTCAATCACATCGATCTGGAAGCAGTCATCTGGCTCCGTAGGTAGTTTCATTGCCTTGAAGATATTGAATGAAATCTGCTCTTCTCTGAGTCTCAAAATCAACTGTCCATTTTGAACATCAATCAAAGCTCTCCTTGTTGCTAAGAATTTGTCTTCTTCCATATCCAGAATGAGGAAATCCACAGGAAATATTAATTTTTCTACTTTGATGAGCACGTCCTCTATTATTCCTCTTAGATGTGTCAATGATGTGTCAACCAATTGCAGCGTCACTATTGTAGCTTTTGTCTCTCCCAATCTGAGTTTCCTAAAAAAAAATAGAGGCACTAGATTAATACTTACACTAAGATCACATAAAACTTTATCAAAATAAACTTTACCAATAGTGCAAGGAATAGTGAAACTCACTGGATCTTTCAATTTCAATGGGAGCTTCTTCTGAATTCTAGCGCTGCATTCCTCAGTTAGCATGTCTGTCTCATGTTTTTCGAGCTTGCGCTTATTTGATAGGATGTCCTTTAGGAATTTTGCGTAGCTACGCATTTGGACTAATGCTTTGGCGAATGGGATGTTTATGTGGAGTTTCTTGAAAACTCTGAGAAACCTTTTATATTACTATTCCAACTTTTGTTTCTTTAGCCTCTATGGAAAAGGTATGGGAGGCTCATGAGAGTTTACGGTTGCTATTTCTTTATCCAGTGATTTGTCAGCTCTTCAATTGGGATAGAATCTTTTATCTACTCGTTATGCTCCATAGTCTCTTCTACCGTAGGAGATGCTGTTTCTCGATTTACACCCTGCCTTTTGACGTGTATCTCAGGTAGCTGCCTTCCTTAGCATGTTCTTTAGGGTTTATTTCCATGTTAATTGGCAAACTGCCTAGTGCTCTGTCGCTCAAAGCAACGATCATCTGTCCCATTTGAGTCTCTAGATTTTTGATAGCTGCATTCTGGTCTTGAAGAGTGGCTTCGATTTTTCTCATAAATTGATTATTATCCTCCATGTACTGATTTGTCTTCTGCATAAATTTACCAAACATCTCTTCCTGTTGAGGCATTTTCTCTTGCTGCTGATACTGACCCTATGGCCTATTTTGGTTTTGATTTTTCCAAGAGAAGTTAGGGTGCTTTTTCCAACTCGGATTGTATGTTTTCCCAAATGAATCGTTCTAATGACGCTGTCTCCATTGAGCAAAATCAACCTGCTCTATTCCTTATACCAAGATTGGACATTCTACTATTACATGTTCGGCTCCACATTCCTCACAACTGGCCTTCTTTGACTGTGTTGCGTTGGCTGATTGTGACATGTTTTTTATCTTGTGAAATAATGAGTCAATTTTGGCAGACAATGTAGAATAAATGTCCACTTCATAAATTCCGGATGTCCTCTTCTAAATTGCTCGTTTCGATGTCCACATAGCTGAAGTAGTAGCCATTGTCTCAAATAGTTTCAGTGCTTCATCAATTGTCTGTGTGAATAGTGATCCATTTGATTACGAGTCAACCATGCTCTTGAAAGCTGGAAGTAATCCAGTATAAAGATATTGGACCTGGAGTCCCTTGCTAATCCCATGATGTGGACACTTCTGCAGCATATTTTTAAACCTATACCAGGCTTCATCAAAGTTCTCTGAGATGTATTGATGGAAAATAAATATACCATACTTGAGCTTTGCAATCTTGGCGGGCGAGAAAAACTTGGTGCAGAATTTTCTGAGCTAGATCATTCCATGTAGTGATGCTCACAATTGGTTGAAAATCTAGCCATTCGATTGTAGTATATGTGGGAACAACCTTAATCTGATTGCATCGTCTGAGATTTCTTGACATCTGAAGTGTTGGCACATCCCCAAAAAGCAAGAAACATGAGTATGTGAATTTTTTTCAACTCTTCTGTAGAATCGATGTCCATTTTGAAACAATTGTATCACGTTGGTCTTCAATTGGAAGTAGGCTGTCCAAACGATGGATATACGATGCTCGACTGGCTCTGAATTATCTAAGGAGTCATGAAATCTCCTACAAGCATATTACCTTCATCCGCTGCCCTTCCTTCTTTAGCTTGAAAAATCGGATTGTTCTGTACATTAGCCATTTGTTACTGTGCTTCTCTATTTTCTTGCTCCATTCAATGTAAAGTTCGTTCAATCTTTGGATCGATTGGGATTAGGTCTCTTTCAGTAGACCTCAACATGCAAATCTACAAGAAAATCAATAGAAATGCTTAGATACTATAATGAAACAAATAATTTAACAAAATAAAAATAAAGTACAATGAAATAGAATAAAAGAATGTAAATATTAATGTTCGAATTAGTGCCAATGTAAATAAAATTAAACGAATACTTAATCCCCGGCAACAGCGCCAAGATCTTGTTTATGAAATTATTTTTCGATTTAAACCACCGCAAGTGTACGGTTCGTAACAAGTAATAAAGTGAAAATTTTGAGTCTGAATATAGTCCCACAAAGATTGCATAGTTCAATTTTATCTAACGTAACCTCAACGGAAAAAAGATTATCAAAAAATGAATTTTTAACCTAAGAAACCCTAATTATAGAAAACCCTAATTTTGCTAAAGTGGTATTTGAATGAATTAAACACGTAAAATGATTTATTTAAATAAATTGGAATGCAATATAGTTCAATTTTATCTAACGTAGCCTTAACTGAAACAAGATTATCAAAAAAATGAATTTTTAACCTAAGAAACCCTAATTTAGAAAACCCCCAATTATAGAAAACCCTAATTTTGCTAAAGTGGTATTTGAATGAATTAAACACACAAAACGATTTATTTAAATGAATTGGAATGCAATATGATGGTTGAAATGCAAGTTGATTTTATTCAATGGGAATTAAACGCACTAAGGTCACGAATTCTCATGCAATGATCGCTTTAAACTTTAGTTCCACAATATGACAACACGATTGAATTATTGAAGAATCAACACTCCTAAATCTATCCAACACTCTCTCGAGTAGTATTGAACCTATTCTCATATGCTACCAACCTATATCTCATGACGGATGCATATATATACGAATGCATGTAATTTTATGAGCACTTGAAGATTCACGCAAAGCATAGGGGTGTATCTCTATCCCCTATCGGACCCTACAGAGATTTATACCTTGTCAAATTTATTTCCTTCTCTCGAATGCAAGAAATAAATCACCACACATCACATAATTACGTGCACCTAATTATGGAAGTGAACTAATGTATACAAATCATTCAAATAATCAAATATATGTTTTAATGTCGAATTGCAAAACTAGAAATCCAAAGATCACATCACATGGTTCATTGATCTCCTAGTACAAAAATATTTAGCCGAACACGGAGAAAATAACAAAATACATGATTTTATGAAGATAAAACATTACCGGGTAATGAATTCGCATGAAATCTCGATGATTTTCGTGAAATCCCTCATTACTCTCACTCAAAATCTTCTCCAAGAAGTGTTTTCTTGCTTCTTGATGTGGTCTTCCCCGAAATCCGATGAGTCTAGATTTTTATATCACGTCCCAATCGAGTTCCAAAAATGTTTTAACGAAAACAGGAAATTGCAGAATCGCATAAAAAACTTCTACAATGGGACTGCATGGTACATTTGGTTCTGGTCCCAGAATTCCCTTGACCCCATTGTGCGACCGCATAGATATTCTACCATGCAACTGCATGGTAGAAGTAATTTCCAATTCCTACCGTTTTGGTCCCTAAACTCTATTTTCTTGTTTATTAGTCTCCTTTTTTCGTTCATTTTGTTCCATCAGCTCACAATGATTCCCAATTGATGCTTAGCTCATTTGCATTCTTGATTCGCCTTTTAGTTTAACTTTTAGATATTTGCAATTTGGTCCCTGATCTTATGATTTCCTTCATTTTGGTCAGTTTCGCTTCTTTTTCTCGTGAATTCCACCATGTCCATCAATATAACCTACAATACAAGAATTAAATGAAATTAAGCCACAATTCAAATACTTTGCTCGTATTTAATTCATGTTTATGAAATAATAAGTGTGTAAAAACGCACTTATCACAAACCCAGTGGCAAAAGATTATTTGAAGCCTGTAGAACCGATGCAAATGACTTTTGATCACTCATCTCAGCCTGAGATAGGCTCAAATGACAAAAAATTGCAGTATGCCTTTGGGTCCTAATTGAGCATTGTCTAGGCCTAAAATCAATGATGAGAATGAACCCAAATTAACTTGACAAGCATTCGAATCAAAATTTGCCAAAGGGACGTCGAAAGGTTGTCTACCGTCGTAGCTACATTTTCCAACCAAATTCATCCAAAGTCCGAAAATTATGAAATTTTCCAGTCTAAAGCAAAATGTCATGTTGATGAATGATGTGCGGTGCGTTTCTCGAGATAAGGTCTGAACTAGCCAATAATTGTATTTTTTCAACATTCAGGTCATTCACGTCTGTAAGCATGTCCAATGTCGATTTAGCCTTAGATTTTGACTGAATGTAGTCAATGTTATGGATAATCTGAATATCCATCGCATGTAGTTATTCGAACTTTGTGCATTGATTAATTTAAAAAATTAGTTTACAGTAGCATGAAATTCGAGATCGTGATTCCGACCAAATAAGACGCTGGTGACACCACCAAAGGGTTTTTGGGCCTTTTGAGTTCATTGGTAATGATTTCGTTGCAAATGTGTGCATTGGTATTCATGTTGAAAGTGTTGGACATTTGCACAATTAATTAATTGGGTTACTTGTCAATGGCCAAATTAGTTAATTAGATAATTAATGGACAGAGTTTAATTAATTAGAATAATTAAATCTTGGAATAGGTTCAGTTCAAGTGTTGGGCCAACCCCTCTTCGACTTCTATTTATAAGTTGTTAAGTTTTGAGAAATAAAATAAGACTACTTATCATCTTGATGGAAAAAAAATAAAAAAAAAAATCCTAATTCTTTCATTTTTGTTCACCGTGTGGATTTTCATTGGAGGCTAAATAATTGAATAACTATGAATTGCAGAATATAAATTGTTCAAATTCAAATGAGCAAAAGAATTGCAGAAATCTACAAAGGTATAATCTCTTTCTAAGCACAAATAAGATCCTTAGTGAAAATTGAAATATTATTTAAAATTCCGATGTGCATGTAATGTAAATTCCCAATAGCAAATGAGCAAGAAAAGACAAGTATAACAAAATTGTTTTGGCGCTTGAACTTTACATTTCAAAAGGATACCCTCTGGTTCTCATTTAGACGTCCCAAAATGTAGTTCGATTCTAAGACTTCAAAGCACTCAATGATAAAATATAGTTAGTACACTAAATCTTCAGGTTTAGAAAGAGAAATTGGGGATTAGAGAGTACTGTAGCTCAAAAAAGTCAACACTCCTATCCAAGAAATTAAATTCAACAGCTAATTTCATTCACCACATACACATTTATATCTTTCCCCATCATTTTTGCTCTGTTCTCAAATGAGAAAAAAAAAAAAAAAAACCTAAAAAGGTGATTGTATCTGCAAATTTCATTCAATCACGTCTAACGCAGAAAA